ATGATATTTACAAGGCATTAAAGAACACATGTTAATTTAAAGAATATCCAAATTGATTGTTATAATTGGATACTCGGATTCAAACTTTTGCTCATAATGTCTAAAGGAGCAAGATTGTGGATAAGTAGAACAAAGTCCATTATTGTGACTTCCACGATTCAGTTTGAGTTTGTGGTATGCTTTGAGGCCACAAGTCAAAAATTTAGGGCTACGATGCTTTATCTTAGGACTTGGAAATGTCGACATCTTGTCCAAGCCGCTAAGAATTATTGTAGTTTTGTAGTAATATAATTTCAAGGAATGACAAGTATTCAAAGGGTGTGAATCATATAAAATTGAAATACTTGTTCGTAAAATATAAGTGAAGAATTAAAGTGTCATTTGGGCATTTTAGTACTAATTGCATGAAAGTGGATCCATTAAAGGGTTATTCTCTATAGTCTTTGCAAGGCATACAATGAAAATTGGGAATAATGAATGGGGCCTTGTTGGACTGACCGTTACTAAATGAAATTGCTCAATTAATGGTTTTGACACTTATTGAATTCGATTAAAGATGTTTTATTCTTCACATATAATACCATCATTATAGATATTTGATTTTATAGTATATACGTAAAAGTTGAATAGATTATGGTTATGGTACGAACGGTTTGTTCCATATTAAAGTAAATTTGAATTAGAAATGATTTGTGGTACATGGAAGGGATCATGTCGCTCGAAGACTTGTGACCGCCATGACTCGATCGGTTAATTTCTACTTTGATTTTAAACTTATAGATATATGTATTCAATCATAAGTTTGATGAAAGGTGCACGCTTAAAGTAGTTCTTTGGGTTTCGACACTTATATGGTCCAAGTGGGAGAATGTAATAATATTTTATATATTATTCTATTATTGTGGACCATATAATTAATTGGACCTAATTGAATTAATAGTCAAACTTAAGTAAGGTGAATATGTATTTAATGGATTATTAATGTTCTAATATTAAAGAGTCCAATTTGTGATGTTTGACTTGGACAGTAAGTTAGGTTAGAACATGGGGAATGGTAGTAGGATTAAGATTCTAAGTCTCCTCCTATATATACTACATGCCCCTCTCCCATCTCATACGAAAATAGAGTTCTCAACATCAAGGGCTTTATGGAAAGACGATAGACGCGGGAGAGAGAAACAATTAATAGGCAAAGGCAAATCCTCATTGGAGATTGAAAGAAGAGGATCCATCAATGGAGATTGAAGGAAGAGGATCGTATCAACATCATAGATCAAGAAAACAGGGAAGGACTATAAGCCGGATTCTTGTAAGTTGTATGTGCAATTCAATTTATGAAAAGATCCATATTATATGAATTGATAGAATTATATGTTTATGGTTTATTCAATTTCGCCTAATAGTTATGAATATACCCGTTAAATTTCTTACATAACTGATATATTTGTTTCTAATATTTACTACTAGCAACCAAATCAGAAATAAAAATGTGTGTTACTAATTTATTTCATTACCTACAATTTTTGTAATGGATCGTTTTGTTCCTAATGTATCTCTATTAGTAACCATATCATTAACAAAAAAATCCATTGCTTATATTATAAATTATAAATTATATGAAATATTATTTTTTGATTATTTTTATTATCATTGAAAAAATCTAAATTAAGTAGGTTGAATTTATGTTTTAATGGTTGTAAATTTGAAGAAATTATATTTTTCATGTATCACAGTTTTACAAAATAAGAGTAAGATAATAGAATAAATTAAGATTAAGAACACAATAGCAAAACATATACAATGTTATTCATTATTAAACATAATTTTCCATCACATAAAAAACAACAAACAAACATTTCTATCACATAAAAAACAACCAATCACGTATATCTTCTTTTCGAACAGTTGTGGAAGCAATATTTTTAACATTTGACTATCCACACGCATCATTCGATATATTCTTGGACATCAGATATGAATCCTTCATAAATAGGTGGACAATTTAGGTCAAGCCGCTTCTCAATCTTTCTGTTCAATTGTTCTTCCTCTATCTTTTTATCCAATTGTTCTCGTTGTGATAAAATAATAGAACAACGATAGATTACAATTATAAATATATTCATTGTACATATACTAAATTATGTGATAAAAACAGTAGATTGCAATCAATTAATTATGCATATACTAAATTATATGTAATTATAATTATAAATAGCTAATTAATACAAGATGATACCTGTAAATGAAAAATCATCTCCATGTAATTCGCATGTCGGTAGTAAGTTCAAATCCAGACATTCTGTATTTTCCAACATACTTAGTTGAATGCGTGCATCTGTGGCAACCAATAAAAGAACTCTTTCCTGTGGCGGAGAGTTCAAATCTAATCCCATAGTTGTGTGGCACGACAATATTTTGTCTTCTGCCTATTTTTTTCTCTGCATCTTTTGAATCGATTACTGTAAAAAAAAAAAGAATACAATATGAGTAAACAATTCCTACATCGCGTGAGAATAAAAAACAGCTCAATAAATTTGTTTTAACCGCCCACTAGGAATGAGGAAGAGACGTGTGTGATAGTGGAAGTCCGAGTAGTTAATTTATATATAAATAATTAACAAATATAAATTTTTAAAAATAGTTATTATCTAGGTATTAAATCTCGCTATTCTATATATGTGTGCTTACTAAAGCTCTAAAATCTTTATTTAACTATCATTTATTTATTTATATGATACACTTATTTTAACATGAAATTATTATTTTCATTTTATAAAAAAAGCTACTGAAATTGCTATTTTACCACTGTTTTAAAATTAAGAAAATACAAACTATTACCCCTACTATTATTATAACACACTTATTTTAACATGAAATTATTATTTTCATGTTATAAAAAAAGCTACCGAAATTGATATTTTACCATTTTCTAAAATTAACAAAATACAAACTATTACCCCTACTATTATTATAATGTGTTTCGTATATTTTATAAAATAAATATTTCCTAAATATTTTTATTTAAAAAAATATGAACTATTAAAATAAGAAATTATTATTTTTATGTTATAAAGAAACCTATTAAAATTGATATTTTACCATTTTTTAAAATTAACGAAATACAAACAATTATGTCAACTATTATTATAACGTGCATGTTTTGTATATTATTTTAAATAAATATTTCCTATAAATTTTTAATCAATAAAATACAAACTATTATGGTTAACATAGTGATATAAAATATATATGCCGATAGCGATCATCTTTGTACTAAGGATCATGTATATCTATTGTATAAAATAAATTTTAAATAAAGAATATACATTTTTCCAAATCTTAATAAATATATTTGTATATTTCCATTTCTTTCATTTATTTTCAAAGTTTTTTCTACAAGTGTTTTAACTTATATTCACATATTTTGCATATTTCTTCCTAAGATAATATATATAAATTCAAAAACACACATGTATTAGAGCACTCAACCAGAATAATAATAATAAAAAAAATAGACATAATTGTTTTTATTTTCAAGGAGCTAAGAGCTGGACATAAAAGAAAAAATAGCTAATGACCTAAATAATGACTTCAGAGAAAAAAATTAGTAAAGTGACCAGACTACAGTAATTTCGTAGACGACGATTTTTATTTCAAGTTCGAATGATTACCATAACAGTAGGAAAGAAACACTATTTCGTTTCTGACCCTGAAGGAAATTTCGAGTTAGGGAGATTAAGTTCTCGAGCATGCTGCGGATCATTTCACTTAACTCTCGACTTAATTCACGACGGTCCTTTCTTGCCCGACGTTTCATTCCGTTTTTAATTTCAGCGATTTCATCCTTGGCTTGCCGCTTTATCTCTGCGATCCCGTCAGCCACTTTTTCAGTCCTTTTATTATTCAAAAGTAGTATATATGGCAATCATTTTCGGCATTAATCATCATAATGAATATTTTAATAGAAATTCAAATTTCAGTAAAATCTTATTATGTACATTTAATTTCAACAATTAATTTTTTTTTTTTTGGAATTAAATCTTGCCATCTAAATAAAAGAAATGTGGTTTCACCAAATTAGATTCAGTTGCAAAAACTCATAACCATGGCACCAATTAAATCTGTTGCACAATTATGTTACTAATACCGTAATTATGACACCAATACTAATTCGTTGCAAAAGTTCGTTACTAATGCACTAAATTCTAGTAGTGATTAATTCAGTTTTGTCATGGAGCAGGATGACACGACTTATGGAGTCATACACACTTATTCACAAATAGTGTATTGACATAGATGAAAGGGAACATGATGCATTTTGCATTGGTGAAGCAAGTGATCTCATGGAGAAGTAAATTTGAGAGAAAAGTTAGAGATTATTTATGTATTATTAATTATTATCAATGCAAAGTAGATGTTGCATGCATTAATTTTGCATTCTATTGTGTTACTTGTGTATTTTTGTACCTAGCAAATAACACAAATTGCGTGATAGTTAGACATTAATATAAGGTAACACGCGATAGTGGAAATTCTTCATAAGTGCAATTCATCAAAAAGAAAATTTTGTCATTCTCAATATCTTATAATCTATATATGGTAAAGCCCAATAAAACTGCAGTCGCGGTAGTGATGAATACTAGGTAGTTGTACTTGAGTCTTGAGCTCAATATATAGTGAAATTCAATTTCCGGTCCATTGCTTCAAGTTATTATTGGCAGAAATAATTAGAAAAAATAAATGAGATGGGTTTATTTTGTATTGCACATTTGTACATTAATGTTAGAAAAAAAAAAAAAAAAAGAGTCTAGCTAGGTAATGTCAAATCAAAAAAGATAGACATATATCCCTTTTTTTTTTTCAATCGAGTGAATGACATAATTAAATTAAATGAAAGCGAAGTTTGGTCCAAAAAAATGTGAAAGAAATGAATAGAAGCAGTATGAAGATAACAAGACAATATAAGTATCTAGATTTGATTATATTTATAATGTAAATAATTAAGCCACAGATACAACAAGTAGAGGAGGGGATTGGAGGGGTAGGATAGTTGGCTCAACATTCATTACATGACCATGATCATCAACTTGTTGTATATGATGAATCTCTTCTTCCTCCACCACAACATGACTACCATTATCTTTATCATCATCATCATCATTGCTAGTTTTGTTATGGGAATGGAGTACTGTTGGGGAAACTGATGAAACTGCAGCGTCCACCACTTTCTTCTCCTCATCGTCACCGCCTCTTGGCTGCTTCATGTTTCGGAAAATCCCATATAGCACCATTTGTAAGACCCCCAATCCAAACCCGATTACATTCGGGAGCTGCACATAATTAATTTACATTTCTTTTTGTCAACATTAATTATATTGAGTACTTGAGCATATACCTATAGCTATAATTTTATATTTTAATAAGTTTATTTAATTTGGATATATATATATATATATATACTTACTGCTACACATAAATCCTTTTGGAACAAACCATAGGCAAACCAGGCGACTGCACTTAGTGTCAAGAAAAATGACAAGGTGAATGGCATGAACTCCACGCTACGTGTTCGGACCACTTGGTACTGCAACGTCCATTAATTAATTATATTTATATAAATAAATTTATGCTTGCATAAGTTATAGAGTACATTAATAGAACATGGTACGAAGAGAAGAGAATTATTAATATTATTATAATCTTCTCCTTACCACAATACTCATGGGTGCTGCGAAAACACTCACAGAAACAGCAACACAAATCCATCCCACGACTTGCACGCGGATATGAGCATGGAATATGAAGAATGTGACCAGGAATATTAGAGATAGTAATCCCACATTCATAAGCCCCAAAAGCTTTGCCGTCTGGCTCTACATGACCAAATTAAATAATTGATTCTTATGATTAAATATTGGAATTTTAATACATTTAAGTATATGAATGGAATAATTAATTTGCATATATATATATATATATATATGTACCAACCCTGGATTTTTTGGATGCATAAATGAGGAAGAGGATGAGGTAAACAGTCTCAACAATGCAGCCGAATGAGTTGATTGAGATTAGAAGAAGGGCATTAGTTTTGAGGACTGCATAATAAACCCATAGCATGGATGAGAAGAGTGCTACTGCATAAGGGAGTGAATCGAATCCCATCGTTGATTTCTCCTTGCAAATTCGTATAAAGGTGGGCCTGTTGCACATCCATCCATCAACACATAATTAATTAATTAATTAATTATTATTATTATTATTATTATTATTATTATTATTATTATTATTATTATTATTATTATATATGCCATGCCCCCTTTTTGTCTATGTTTGTATGTATGCATATTATTATATATATCAAAATTTATACTATAATATATGTGCCCAATAGTTTAGGAAAGGTGATAATGATTTCATAAAATTGCCAGTAACCATTAAAAAAAACGTGTACAGTACTCCTAACTATTTAATAAAGGGGCGGTGACAATACGGGTGTGTCTCAACCCCGTAGTGTTGTGATCAAGCGGTAGAAATATCGCTTCCTTTCTTGCACCAAAAAAAAAAGGGTAAAATGTTCGCGATTTGATTAGGGAAGGTGACAAAATATTTATTCAGTAATTTGATGATTGCAAAAATTGACCAATACCCATTAAAAATAGCGTACGATATTCCTAAATATGCATAAAAGGTCCACTAACTATTTTTTTTTTTAAAAGAAAAAAAGCAATAATATATACACATATATGGGTAAAATGTTCGCGATTTGATTAATCAGTAGTATTTTTTGCAATTGCCAAAGTTATCGGACCAGGCTATATATATAAATATATTGCAATTTTTATTACTTATATACATAGATATGACAAAAACTATGGGCAAGTACTTACGCTGGAGCAAGGTACACAAAGATTGATATAATGTTACCTGCAGCACAATATATGAGAATTGTTTTTTGTGATATATACGAGACCAAAAATAATGATCAGAAATCAAACAATATAACTAAACAAGTTAAAATCAAGAGGTACTTATTGTCGAGTGTTCATATTTATAATTTAATTATGAAATAGCGATCATCACTTTTATCCTTCTTTTATTTTTTTCCTTTAGAAGTTCCAACATACATAAGTAGTCATGTTTAATTCAGTACTGCACCAGCTAGCGAGATTTTGTATATATAATATTTCGTTGTTGATCAATTTGGAAGGTGAGTCATGCTATTTATATTGGCCAAAATCAATATACAGAACCTACCATATATATAATTATCATATATAAATAAAAAGTTTTCTTTATTTGTAGTTAATTCCTTCTCCAAATATATTATATATATATATATGTCCATATTAATTAAAATCAGTAGTTATAATTTATAAATGATACATGCAAGTTTGATTTGAAGATGTTTTTTTTTTAAGGTAAAGAATGTAAGTATGCTGCTTTAATTCCTTTTGAAAAAAGAAGGAAAATGAAAAGACTTGATATGATGGAGTGAAATGGAGGAAATAACAAAGAAAGAAGAGCATTAGCAATGGTTAATTACCTATGACACCAAAAGTGAAAGCCCACGGGTGGTGAATATCAAAGATAGCCATTATAGATAGATGTGTGTGTGTGTGTGTGTGTGTGTGTGTGTGAATATGATTTGCTGCTCAGAAAGTGATTGAAATAATTGTAAAGAAGGTAGCTAGCTATCTATCTACAGAGAGAAACCCAATTGCTCCTAATTATTATTAATATATATTTGCAAAAGAGAATATATGTATATATGTAATGGGAATTAGTCATGCAAAATGGGAATGTGAGAGGAGTGGGTTTTATAGGGAGAGTTCCCCATTCAAATACTCATCATCTTGTTTGCATGACAAGTGGAATCATTATTAGGTGGCGTACCATAAAATCATTCCCCAACCTAATTAATTCATTCATTTACACACCATATCATCCCTCCTCACGTGCCATAGCCAATTAATCGCGTGCTTTCTCAAATTATTAATTTACTGATTTTAATTTGCTTCAAATTTAATCATGTATATATGAATCTTGTATTCAAACCGCCTCCTAATTTCTAATTTAAATTCTCCAATAACTATTCGCTAGGATCCTAGACGGCTGGAAGAAAAAAAAAATTTATCGACACGTATACTCTATAATCATTGTCGCCGTCGTGCATATTATATACGTGTTTTGGTATATGCATGCACGCGCAAGAGCGAATCTATTGGTCGACTTGGTGGGCCCTAGGTGCAAGGCGCGCCAATGTTTTTTTTTTATTTCTTTTTATATATATCGTACGCGTTTTATCTTAGATCATCCACATTATTTTGCATCTAATTTTATTACTTGTCAATAACTAAAGTCATCAATTATGTGAAGAAATTAAGAAAACATAGACTATACTAATCTCAAGAGGGGTAAAAAAATTTGTATGAGCAAATATACATGAAATGTTTTATTAAAATAATAATAGTCTTTATATATTTTTCAAATACATCAAGTGGAGATTTAGTATATATTTTTCTGCATGTCGTATCATCTACATCTAATTATTTTATTTAATTTATCTACAATGAAGATGATTTTTACTTAAGAGATGATTAGTTAAACAGAGGAAAAAGAATGAAAAAGGTAGCAGACAAGCATATAGAGTATTCCGTGTGAGAATAGAAGATTTGTATGGAGATGGGGTTAAGAGGGGCGTTAAAAGAAATGTGGATTCAAGTTGTTTGGTCACGTTTAATGGCAATATTTAGTTAGTCCCATAAAGCAATTTTTGGTGGACTAAAGTGGGGGTACCATTCACGAGACACATCCCTTCCTATCCTATGTAATCAAATGAAACTGAAAATATATACTTTATTATTATTATTATTATTATTTATTATTATTATTTATTATTATTATTATTATTATTATTATTATTATTATTATTATTAAAAATAAATATTAATTTAAGGAGCAGAAAACACGGTCCCAGAAATCACCACCTTAATGTTTGTCCTTTAGCTAACCAAACCTCATCTCCATATTTTCTGTTATTGTTTTGTAGCTATTCTTAGTTCATTGCACCATCTTTTCATTTGGTTGCAAGAAACCAAATGTCATTAAAACTCATTTCTTTTTTTCTATTTAATTCATTTCTTACGGCAAATGGCTGTTACGCTGTGAGCTGTGTGTATTTGTTGCCATCTCACTTATTATTAATTAATTAGTACACATCTCTTGCTATGAATTAGAAATTGAGATTGGGATTGTATTTAAAAGTTATATTACAATATAATTTGGTTAATATAATAAAAACAAAAAGATACAAAAAATTACAAAAAAAAAAAAATGTTATTGTGCTAATGATTTAGTAGTCAGGTCTGTTTAAGTATTTTTATTCATATTTTTAAATATATCATTTTATGAATAAAACTTCTTTTTATTCATGTAATAATTAGTAACAATAAATAAATAATATTAAAATTATAATATCGAAGAATTTACTTATAAACCATCTGTACACCTTACTTTTATAGATGTGCCTCAGTGGCTACTATTAGGATGAAACATCATTAAGGCCCATCTAGGCTCACCCTACTTTGGTGCGCTTCATGTTCGTGAGACCGCATCCGTCAACCCCTGTTTCTTTATGGTATCAGAGTCGGTTGCCCAGTTAGGTTTGGGCCTACGTGGGGCCGTGCACTGACGCACCAGTCACCTAGCCCAGTTGGACTTGGGCCTCATATGAAGGACTCACAAGTGAGAGGCGTGTTAGAATATACACTTGTGAGTTTTCTCACGTCGTCTATACAAGAAAAATAGGCCTAACTTGTAAGCTTAACGGGCTACTCCGCCTACCACCAATTGGTTTAAGATGGAACCCCACTAAGGCCCATCTAGGCTTACCCTACTTTCGTGCGTTTCACGTCTGTGGGACGCACCCTTCAGCCCCCGTTTCTACATGGTATCAGAATCGGTTCACCCAACCCAGTTGAGCTTGGGCCCAGTTGGGCTTGATCCTTATGTGAAGGACTCACAAGTGAGGGGGTGTGTTAGAATATACACTTGTGAATTGTCCCAAAAAATAGGTCTAACTTATAAGTCTAGTAGGCTACTTTTCTTACCAACAATTGATTTTAGGTGGAACCTCCACTAAGGTTCATCTAGGCTCACCCTGCTTTGGTGACCTAACTTATAAGTCTAGTGGGGTACTCATCTACCACCAATTGGTTTTAGAATGAAACCCCATTAAGGTCAATCTAGATTCACCCTGCTTTGGTGCGCTTCACGTATGTGAGGCCGCACCCGTCAACCCCCTTATCTTCAATATTCATCTCACATTTGTTAATAAATGATACACAATATAAATATTAAAAATATAGAAAATAAATA